CTCTCACTGCGTGAGCATAGTTCTCCAGGAGCAGACAACATCCGCCCGAAGGCACTGAAGGCTATGGCCACCAAGCTAGCTGAACCACTATCACAGTTCTTCCAAAGGTGCTTTGATGAACAACAAGTCCCCACTATGTGGAAGTGTGGCATTATAACCCCTATTTTTAAAGGCGGTAGCCGTTCAGATCCTGCAAACTATCGTCTAGTGACTCTCCTCCCTGTGCTCGCGAAGGTGATGGAAGCAGTCGTCGCTGAGGCATTAATGGACTACCTAGAAAAATGCAACATTTTGGTACCGGAACAGTATGGCTTCCGTCAACACCGGTCATGCACCACCAACCTACTTATTGCACGAGGTAGTTGGACGGAAGTGGCCGATGATGGGGTTGGAGTCGACGTCATCTATCTGGACTTCTCCAAAGCTTTCGACCGTCTTGATCACCGCATCCTACTTCAAAGACTACAAAGTTACGGAATCGGAGATCCTGTACTTGGTTGGATTGGCAACTTCCTTTACCAACGAAAGCTTCAAGTACGTGTTAGGGGATCACTTTCTAACCCAATTGAGGTGAAATGTGGTGTCCCACAAGTCTCAGTGCTGGGACCGCGTTTATTCCTGGTGTTTATCAACGACCTGGCAAGGGTCATCTCCTCAAATTTCCTGCTTTTCGCCGATGACGTCAAGATATGGCGGGCGATTAGTAACAAGCCAGATCAGGATCTGCTCCAACATGACCTAGATTGCATTTACGAATGGTCAAAGAGGAACAAGCTTCAATTGAACATAGCTAAGTGCAAAGTGATGCATCTGCGTCACCAGCCGGTGAGCGCTTACAAGATTGGAGACCACACCTTGGCGAAGGTTTCTCAGGAGCGTGACCTGGGTGTATTGGTGCAGGAAGATCTCGGGTGTTCAAAACAAGCAGAGAAGGCGACGAGAACCGGAAATCAACACTTCGGCCTTCTTCGCAGAGCCTTCGGTCGGTTTGAACCCTCAATATTTCCCCAAATGCTTAACGCCTACGTGCGACCTCACGTGGAATATGCTATTCAGGTGTGGCAGCCGTGGCAGAAACAGGATCTCGTTGCTCTCGAGACTCCTCAACGAAGGGCAACCAAGAATGTCAGGGGCCTCTTTCATCTGCCCTATCAGCTTAGACTGAAATCTCTAAGAATCTACAGCAGTCGATATCGGCTTTTGCGGGGGGGATCTCATAATGGTTTACCAGATTCTGAAGAACCCAAACCACATTTGTCGTCCGCTGCTGGAATTGAACCACAACACTAAACTAAGAGGTCACCCTCTGAAACTGACAATTCAGTATAGCCGGCTTGAATGCCGTAGAAATTTCTTTTCTCTCCGCGTGTGCCAGCCTTGGAACGCCCTCCCTAATTATGTCGTCTCTGCTCCCAATCTGGCGATATTTAAAAAACGTGTTGACGATGCATTGTCTCACTTACATTTCATTTTATGACTTGTTAGCCAGGGGCTACAAAACGCAATCAAACGGTGTCTTGCCAAACGCCTAACCAATGGATTTATGGATTTATATGTTTAATACGCGAACATCTCCGCTATTCCGCATAAGTCTATGGTGAGTCCACCACAACGCTTTTCACTTTATCATGCAATTGATTTTCACAATAACTTCCATCCTACGGGACTTGTTAAGCAACGCTTTTTTACCCGTAATAAACCATTGTTCCATTGTGTTCCTCATCCTCAGCTATAGTGTATTGATGAAGATGATTGATGTTTACGATCCCTGTCGACGTAAGCCGTGTTGTCGGCAGCAGCGCATCGGCAACAATGGATTTTAATACTTTGGGTAGTTAAGAAAGAAGAGATATTGGACGACAGTTTGAGTGCTCAATCCTGCTTCAGCCTTTGGAAATCAGAGTTATAACACCAGGTTTCCTAAAGGCGGGAACTAGGTTATGGTCTATGCAGTGCATAAAGGACTGAGCCAACGGTTCTACCAGTTGACTTGCTGCTGATCTCGTGCTTCTGGGTTGATGAAATCGAAACCTGGAGTTGTGGTTGCGCAGAGACGTCAATTTCTACAATACAGTTTCAACAGTAAAGAGGAGTAGGTAAGTTCTGGAGGAGAGACATCAACAGCTGGAAGGTCGCCTGATGATAAAACCCTCCGAAATGTGGAAGCATACTACGTCGGCAACGTGTATGCTGCTTCTATAGCCGTCCTTGTTGGACGATCAGCGGTGCAGAGTGGAGGAATTAAATACCTCACCTTACGACGTCCCTTGACATACTTATACAGCAGCATGTAGTTAACGCTGAAAGTTTTCCCACTGGGTTCCTGATATAAGAGTTTGTCTGCTCCGTGCAGTTGAATGCAGTTAGGTTGGGCTACGTACATGTCCCAATTATTTTGCGTTGAAGATTATCTATACTCTCGACATTTCGAGTTGAGTACAAACATCCATTTTCGGGTTCTGGACCTCACGAATATAAAGGTTTGGGCCCATGGCAAACCCATGTCTTTGAGGCATCTGTAACCAGTATATTGAATTTGCTGACGAATTCAAGACAAGCGACTTCCGGGAGGTCTTCGGCGGGGAACAATCAAGTAGTGGTACTGACGATCTGACCTAGGCGGACGTAGCGTGTAATGGTGAGCATCATCTCAGAGTTCTGGTTGCGATATTGCGCATGGCAGACGAAGTCGAAAGTGATGAGTGCATGATCACTGCAACCCAAAGCCCACTCCACGTTTAGGTGTTGCTCTTCCCAACACTGGCAAACCACGACCGCGGTTTCGTCCTGATTCGGACTCGTCAGGTGGAGATAGTTTGAGCTTGGGTGGAACTTAGAATTTAGTAGTTCATGGCTGACGTCCTGAACATTATGCTACTGAGATCCTCCTGACGAGTCCAAAGCAGGACGAAACCGCGGTCGTGGTGTGCCAGTGTTGGGTAGAGCAACACCCAAATATTTCCATCCAGGATAAGGTCCTCGAGATCAGAATGACCGAAGTTTACCTCAAAGTGAACCGATGTCTCAATAGAGGTTGCGAGTCGCAATCCAACCACATAGCGTGCTCCCTAAACTCGGCTTTGAATTACTTTCCGCTGTGCCAAGCGTTGCTCGCAGATCTCAGTAGCATAGTGTTCAGGGCGTTAGCCATGAACTACTACGTTCTGAGTTCCACCCAGCTCAGTCTAACTCCACCTAACGAGTCCAAATCAGGACGAAACTGCGGTCGTGGTGTGCCAGTGTTGGGAAGAGCAACACCCAAATATTTCCATTCACGATACGGTCCTCGAGATCGGAATGACCGAAGTTTACCTCAAAGTGAACCGATGTCTCAATAGAGGTTGCGAGTCACAACCCAACCACACAGCGTGCTCCCTAAATTGATCTTTGGCATTTCACGTTCAAGGCATCAATCACATGTTCCTCGTTGGTGAACACAAGATCCAACAAAGATGATCTGTTGCTTGTTTTGAAACGAGTGGGCATAATGATGTGACTGTAAATTTGAACACTTGTTATGAGCCCTTGCAGATTGGCTTTGAATTGCACTCTGACCGCAGCAGTAGTTTCTAAACAATGTACCCTGAAACCACCCATGATAGAGATGTGTGTGCTTTTTCATTCGATTGCATGTTAAAGCTGTCGCAAGATGACAGTCCATTACGGAGGTAGTTTAGAGGGCGGTACATCAAACTTATCAGGCAGGTGACTCTGCCTTATAATTGCAAGCGGCACTAAAAAGAATCGGCGAATTGCGAACCTGAACCCCCCACGGCCTCATACTTTAGGTCACTGAGGGAATACAGTATTACCCCTCCTTCCTTAGTAAACCTGTCATTGCGGATGAGTGACGCCCGGCAGCGAGACCTCAGCGTCTGTTATTTCAGCATGTAGCCATGGCTCCGTGACACCGACAATATCGAATGGTTGCGAAATTTGGTGATCCTTCAGTTTGGTCAGCTTATTAAAATGGTCTTGAGCATGGGTATAAAGAAAGGAAAGCTGCTCCGTCTCTAGTGACCCGCAGGCGGCTAGGAAATTCAGGCGCGGGAGAATGTCGACCGATGGTCGGTCGTTATTCGCTTCTTGTTGGGATAATGACGCCTTGTCCGCAGCTTGTTTCGGCCAAGGTACGTCCCATTCCTCGTCCGGGTATACTGCGGAATCGCGCGGACGAGCGGTTAATTAAAACTCCTATGTAACCGCTGGTAGGTTTGATTTTTCAGATAAGCTCTTATCTGGTCATCGCAAGGCTTCGCCAGCTTTTACCCTGAGTTCAGATGAAAGAGTTTTCCGATTTATTCGCCAACGTTCAATCACTTCCGTCGTTGTTTACTTTAGCTGAATCACGAGTTTTAGGATTTTTTGAGCCACATCCTCTATGATTTGGCGAGTGGGGTAGCATTTAGAGCGATCGCGCGGCAATATGATCCAAGGAAAATGCTTCCCGAATGAACCACCACTGTAGCAAATTTTGAGATCCGGCCACTTGGTTATTGTTGGAAGGAAGCACTGGTACGCAATGTATGGAGATTGTGCTTAGATGATCCTGTCTGCTGTGCCCTTCCGAGATGTCTACTTCCGATAGTTGCGTGCATCAAGCGACGTCAGGATAGATGCTCATCCCACAGGATAAGTGTTATAGCGCATTTGCATTGAAATCATGTAGCGCCCTAAAAGATAACTGCTATCTTTCATGTACAATTTAATTGTTGACCGATTGTACATTACTGCTTTTTGTTTTAATCTTCCTTACAACCCGCTCGTCACTCGACAGCCTTGTAAGTTCCCGCGCTCACGTGTTCGCTCTCTTCTCGCTTCATCCGTCCGCTTCTTATTGTAGCCCATCGAATACAGTCCGCTGTGTCCGACTCCAATTGCCTTCTGATATCCGCGCTTACTTTCGCGCATCGTCTCGGACTAGTATTAACTAGTCCTACAAATTGGTGACCCCGATTCGCACGCGCGAATTCAACTTTTTTTTCTCGTTTGTATTTTTTGGTGAGTTCGTTCCTTTCTCTCGATTATATACCTGTATTCATTTGTTTCTTGCGTAATTTTGGTACTTTGATCGTGTTTTTGTTCATCTTTTTCGACTCACATTTCGAGAGTGGCATCTGAGTCGTTTCACAGCGTAAACATGCTTACTTTGGCTGTTCCAAATTTCATGGAACACAGCCAGAGGTTTGGTTTAAGATATTCGAGATCGAACTGGAAAATAAGGGCATTACGGCGGACCGTCCGAGGTACAATCAGCTCGTCCCACGCCTTCCTTCGTCGGTTGTGACGCTGGTTGAGGACATTCTACTCTGCCCATCGAATGAGGCAAAGTATGAAACAATGAAGCAAGCGATTTTAAAAGAGTTACAGCCCAGCGCATGAACTCGATTTGAACAGCTCAATGGTCTCAAGCTTGGAGATCGCAAGCCGTCGGCGTTGCTCCGCGAACTTCAGCGCATCGCTGGTCCCTTATTCTTGAGCGAAGAAGGGATAAAGGAGCTGTGGTTTGCACGTCTCCCAGAGCCATTGCCGGTAATGCTGTCCATGTTTATAGATACACCCCTGAAAGAATTAGCTACCAAGGCAGACGCTGCGTTCGAACGGTTTCCGCAGCAGACGACCAGTAGCTCCGGTGACGTATTCTCACCGATGAAAACCGAATCTCATGTTTGTTCCCAGTCGTTAGGCCGATCTGACTCTAAAGACGAGGAAATTGCGCTACTTCGCAGCAGGATAGCAGCAATGAAGGCTTCGAAGCAGCGTGTGCCACGGTCAAATGCTGACCACGTTTTGGCTACCGTTCATTGCGGCTCGTCTGTGCCTGCACCGAGTACGTCACGTTCGGCACGAAAGCGCAACATTTTCCCTACAAGTTCTCAGTCAGATAATGTCAAACCCGTCGAAGAAGTATGTTGGTATCACCGCCAATACGGTGGAAGAGCTAGACGTTGTCGGGCTCCCTGCATTAGGCACGACCCAGCTGCTTCAGGGAAAACGAATAGCCCGCATACTAGCACGACAAACGTATCATTCAATAACCAAGCAAACCGACTGTTTTACGTTAAGGATCGACGTTCTTCCATCACATTCCTCATCGACACCGGAGCGGAAGTCAGCGTCATCCCAGCGACCGCTAACGACAAGCACTCAGAGCCTACGTACAATTTGCGTGCGGCCAACGGTTCTCCCATAGCTTCATTCGGTCAGCGCATGATGAACCTGGACCTCAATCTTCGCCGAGACTTTCAGTGGGTCTTCATGGTTGCGTCTGTACCCTTCGCAATTATCGGTATCGACTTCCTCCGACATTTTGGGTTGCTTGTTGATGCTGGTCGCCACAGACTTTTAGACGACCGTACTAAACTAGGGGTTGAAGGCGTTCTTACGGACGCCCCGATAATCAGCCCCGTTTTTCGAATCGCCGATGTACCATCAGGTTATGCGAACCTACTGTCTGAGTACCCGCGACTGGTACGACCAGCTGCAGAGCTTCCGCCAGTCACGACAGAGGTCGCTCATCACATAGTCACGCGTGGTCAGCCAGTTAGCGCACGACCAAGACGGCTTGCTCCTGACAAACTACGCGCAGCACGAGCCGAATTTGACCACATGCTTCAACTCGGTATCGCAGACCGTCCAACAGCCCATGGGCGTCGCCTCTGCACATGGTCCCGAAGAAGGTCATGGGGGACTGGCGTCCTTGCGGCGACTATCGAACCTTGAATACGGTTACCACGCCCGATCGCTATCCGATCCCACACATAGTGGATCTCACCGCCAGTCTGGCAGGTAAAAATATCTTCAGCAAAATCGACTTGGTACGCGCATACAACCAAATTCCGGTAGCCGAAGCGGACATAGCTAAAACTGCCGTGACGACTCCATTTGGTTTGTTCGAGTTTCTGCGCATGCCATTTGGCCTAAAGAACGCCGCGCAAACTTTTCAGCGCTTCATCGACCAAGTTTGTCGCGGTTTAGACTTCGATTACGCGTATCTCGATGACATTTTAATCGCAAGCTCTTCATGAGAAGAGCACATACGCCACATACGAACACTTTTTGATCGTTTATCTCAACACGGGGTGACGATCAACGCAGAAAAGTGTTCGTTTGGTGTCGATTCAGTCAACTTCCTCGGCCATCGTATCTCCTGTGCAGGCGTCGTGCCACTGCAGGACAAAATTCAAGCCATCATCAACTACCCAGAGCCTCATTCTTTCAAACAGCTCAGGCGTTTTGATGGGCTAGTCAACTTTTACCCACGGTTCCCACAGTTTATACCAAACTGCGCCTCGCTGATGCAACCCTTCACGGACCTTCTCCGAGGGAAACTCAAAAAATTCGAATTTTCGGCCGCAGCACGCGCTGCTTTTAAGTCGCTGAAAGAGGCTATCGCCAACATAGTTTCTATAGCGCATCACGATCCGGCCGCCCCACTGTCCCTCAGTACTGACGCCTCGGACGTGGCAGTCGGCGCTGTTTTGCAGCAACGAGTAGCCGACACGTGTCAGCCCTTAGCGTTTTCTCCAAACGCCTACAACCTACCGAATCTCGCTACAGCACGTTCGGTAGAGAACTACTAGCCGTATACCTAGCGATACGTCACTTTCGACACGTCCTAGAAGGCCGCTCCTTTGTCGTCTTCACCGACCACAAACCCCTGACTTACGTGCTCGGCTCGACTACCGACCGATACTCTCCTAGAGTCGCGCCACCTTGACTAAATGGCTCAGTTTACGACCGATATACGGCATGTCTGAGGTGTGCACAACGCCGTCGCCGATGCACTTTCTCGCATCCAAGCTATCTCCGCTGACGCCCGCACTGCTATCGACTCGCTTCGGCGGTACATATACTAAAATTGGAACGATACAGAGAAGATTAGCATGGCCTCTGCGCAAGGATGACACGCAAAAATCGTGAAGCGTTCCATATTTTCCGTCGCAACGAGACTGGACCTTAACGTGATGCGACGGTTTGCGTACCTCATTGACCCATTGAGCTATACTGGGTGATGCCTCCAAGCACCTTGGGAGCTACTCCTACAGGTTGCTCAATGGTGAGAGGTCAGACAAACTCAGTCTCCTGGTCCTCCAGGTTGGCGTCCATCTCTGTGAAACTAAATTACTGCCACCCCGCTGTCTTGCGGACAGGCTTTTGAGCCAAAGGCTTTCGATCAGGACCCTAATCGTCCTCCTGTCTATGTCTGGGCGCCCTGGCAGTATCCCAGCCCACATACAACCATGACATTTTCTTCAAACATAAACTTCATCCAACATCGGTCATCGCGCAGATTATCAAGGGTCGCCTTATCTGCTACATACAGCACGGCGGATAAGCGAAAACATGCTACTGCTGGCGCCTCCCTTCTTTCTTTTCCACCTTTTTCTCTTACTCCCATCCCGGCCCCCATTACTAACCTTCCTTCTATAATTCCCAGCTTAATTGACGGCAACCGAAGTGCCACTGGAGTAGAACCATCTGCAGCCACAATCTCACCGCACCTATCGGCATAAGTCACTTATAAGGCCACGCTGTCCCGTTTCCGTGGCGACACTCAACGTCCGCACTCTAAGACAAACAGGTCAGCAGGCTGCACTCGCACGCACCTTGGACACACTGGGTGTTGATGTGTGTTGTGTGTCCGAAACTAGGATTAATGACCCTAACGGGGTTATTGAATTGACTGCACCCGGCTTATCCTCTCGTTATTGGTTACACGCATCCGGAGACGCCGATGCGGCACTCACGAGTCAAGCTGGTATAGGTATCATTCTCAGCTCCAAGGCTGAGTCATCGTTGATTGATTGGATTCCGGTGAACAGCCGTTTATGTGCAGCCCGTTTGACGACATCAGCTAAGGTGAATTCGCGAAGTAAAACAAAACGCTGTTTGTTTGTGATTTCTGCTTATGCTCCCACCGACTGCAGTTCTAATGCTGTCAAGGACGCATTTTATCACGAACTGAACGCCCTACTACGCAGTGCAACTAGTCCAGATATTATAGTATTTGTAGGGGATATGAACGCACAAGTAGGGCGTCTGAGCTCTTCAGAAGCTCAGCTGGGTGGTAAGTATGGACTTAACGCCGAACGGACTGACAACGGCGAGCGTCTGCTGCAACTGTGTGCGGAGCCCAGTTGTTTCTTACTAGCACTGTTTTTAGACAGTGGGCGCCGAAGTGCCACTTGGCGTCCACCTGTAGCTGGCCAGCGATGGACCTAAATTGACCACGTAGCCATAAGTTAAAGATGGCGTGGTTCCATTCTGGATTGCCGCTAGTACTTGAGCACCCGTGTAGACTCTGATCATGCCTTGGTACGCTGTCGTTTCTCCATGAAGTTTACCGGAAGGTGCATAAAGCGTCTCCTCCGACTGGCAACTGAGAAATTGTCCCAGCCCTCCGTCAGGTAAGCCTATCAAGACACACTGCATACCGAACTCTCGCTGTATTGTCCTAATGACACTGAACTTCAGTGGAATAAGATCTCGGCTGCCATGCAAGACGCAGGAGCATCTGCTTGTGGCACTATCCATCGTCACCGCATTAGCCACTGGATATCCGAGAGGTCCGTGAACCTGTTGGAAGCTAGAAGACACCTCCCGACTGGTTCTGAACACAATGTGACCAGACGGGCTATTAGGCGTGAACTAAAACGGAGCCTACGTGCTGACAAGGAAGCCTGGTGGACCAGTCGGGCTCAAGAAATGGAGGAAGCAGGAGCAAGAGGCAATTACCGCAAGCTCTTCCAGCTAATCCGCACCACTGGTCTCAGAAAATCAGGCGTCAGTGACACAATCAGAGACAGCGCGGGTGCGCTGATACACAATAAGGAGCGCCGTATGGCTCGTTGGGCGGAACACTTTCAAGATCAGCTCAGCTAGCCCCTGCTCCCGGACCTCTTCCTACTCAGGTGATGCAGGACGTGCCATGGACCGTTAGTTTACAGTTTGCGACGGCACAAGCAACCCTGAATAGCCTGTCCAGAGTGGTCCCATTATTTGGTATGCACTTCGCACCTTCAAAGTGCAAAGTGTTGCTGCAGGACCACCAGCCACTTGATGACCCCTTGACGCTTGCTAACGAAGAACTCGAGGTGGTTGATCAATTCACTTATCTTGGCAGCTGCATCAGCAATGATGGGCGCATAGAAACTGACGTGAGCTCACGCATTGCAAAGGCCAGAGCTGCCTTCTTGAACTGCGGCATCTTTGGCGACAGAAGGGAGTTTCCCTCCGTCTGAAAGGCCGTGTATACAAGGCCACAGTGAGGGCCGTTCTGCTCTAGGGTAGTGAAACTTGGCCCCTTCGGTCTGAAGATCTGAGGCGCCTTCAAGTCTTTGATCATCGTTGTTTGCGAAGCATTGCTGGTGTCGGATGGCACCAGCGTATCCGCAACGATGATGTGTGTAGGCGAGTACTAGGTAGTGATAATCATGCTAGCTCACTATGACAACAGATAGCACTGAATAAGTTGCGTTGGCTCGGGCACGTGCTACGCATGCCTGGTCACCGCTTACCTAGGAGGACCTTGTTCAGTCTACCACGTGTAGGATGGCGCAAGGCTCGAGGTGGACAGAAGTTGACTTGGCAGCGAGAAATGAAGTCACTGACGACCAAACTGGGTGCCGTTGGTCCGTCTCGCCTTCCGGGTTGGAGTCCACGTGACTCACATTGTGCTTGGCTCGAGACTTTGAAGGACATGGCTCGCAACCGACACCAGTGGCGCGTCTGCTGCCGTCTCCTAATCGGATTACCTGCTTAAAGTATGTTTGGTGCTGAGTTATCTGCGCGATAATGGCTGATTATGACGCGTGGCAGTGAAAGCCGCAAGGAAGCTGTCTCGCCGATGCCGCCTTATCTTTGCACGATAGCCAGCTGTTTGTGACGGTATTTTGTCTACACAAGGTGTGGGCGCCTTGACCCTGAATGTTTACTTAGGGCATTAAGGTTTTCAGGTAAGTCCCCCTTTCTCTCCCTCTTCTTATTCTTTATTTCATAGGTCCTCATGATTGTATGGCAGCGAAGCATCAGTTCAAATGGCTGATGTACTGCTGCTGTTGACTGACTGACTGGTGACTGCAATCGACTTGGCAGCCATGGTCACAGCACAACTCAACGATCCTGAGGTTGATCTACTGCGCAGGTCTTCCTCATTGGATATACGACCCGTTCCGCTGACATCATCAGACGGCACTATACTCTGCGATTTATCTCTGGGCACGCCGCGCCCAGTCGTTTCACCCGAGTTTCGGCAGACCGTGTTCGACACGTTGCACGGCTTGTCTCATCCAGGCGTTCGTGCATCGGTTAAACTCGTAACCGCACGATTCGTTTGGCGCAATGTCAATCGGGACGTCCGTACTCGCGCAGCTGCTTGCCTTCCGTGTCAACGCGCGGTGCACAAGCACACGAGAAGCCCATTAAGCGCATTTCCGACGCCAGACGCACGTTTTTATCACGTGCACGTGGACCTCGTAGGTCCTCTGTCGCCTTCCAAAGGCTATGTGTATCTACTGACCTGTATCGGTCGATTCACTAGGTGGCCGGAAGCTATTCCGATACCTAACTGCTCTTCGGAAACAGTAGCGAAGGCTTTTCTGGAACGCTGGGTAGCTCAATACGGCTGTGCCGCCATCGTGAGCACCGATCGAGGGTCACATTTCTCGTCAACATTTGCCACGTTGCTTAAGGATTTAGGATGTCGCGACGTCCAGACGACGGCGTATCATCCGG